TCAAGAAGTTTTATAGCAAATAAATATAGGGGCATATCATCAAATATCTTGAGAGTGGAGTCCAATAGCTTCATTACTTATGCCATATTTGGGTATCCCTGCACAGTTGTGCGAGCTCTAAATGTCATACTAGTGCAGGTTGTAACGAGCTGTGAAATCTACTCAGATAAATATTGGGCATTGACCTTCATTTTCATTTTACGCTTCTAATTTGAGGGTGCAGAGCTCTTGGAAAGAATTGATTCACCATGTTCTCTCTCCTGTGATTATTCCCCTTATACTTCATTTGAATGAGCATATTCGGGCTCATCCAAATTTTAAGGGAAGTCTTGTTTTGTTTCCCAACCACAGCCTCATCGCATATATGTTCTAAGGGAAGTCTTGTTTTGTTGGTCTTAAAGCAAAACCACAACCAACCCCAACCACAGCCTCATCGCATACAACCCAACCAATTAACTCAAATCGCAACCCATATAAACCAAACCACGCCTATCAAAGACCAACAAATTATACCCACAACCAACAACCAACATTGTAAGACCACACCCACACCTATAACCAATAATCAACAAAGACCAACAAACCACACCCACAACCAACGACCATCAATGCAAAATCAAAATCGAAATCACAGCGACCCCAACCATAGCCATTCATGCAAAACCAAAACCAAAACCACGACCAACCCTTACCAACATCCAACATTGCAAAACCAAATCCGCAGCCACAACCAATAGCCAACAGAGACCACCAAACCATACCCACATGTAAGAACCATCGGTCGAAAACAACAACCAAATCCACAACCAACCCTGACCACAATCACTTCCCATAAAACTCAACCAATTAACTCCAGCCACATCCCATATAAAACCAACAACTATCATCAAAGATCAACAATCAACATTAAAAAATCATAACCACCCCCACAACCAACAGGGATCACCAAACCACACCCATGGACAACCATCAGTTCAAAGCCACAACAAAAAAAAACCATAGCCGACAACAGCCACACCATATCTCATATAAACCAACTAACTAAATAAAACCACAACCCATATAAACCCAACCACGACCATCAAAGACCAACAAACCACACCCACAACCAACATTGCAAAACCACACCCATGACAAAGACGACTATGAAAAACCACACCCATTAAAAATCCAAAAATTTAAAGATGGGGAGAAGCCAAAAACCAATAATCAAACTTGACAATGTAGAGAATATACGAGAATATCAGAATGCCCAAATTCGATCAGAGGGAAGAAAAATGAGAAGCCAAAATCACAACCATGGAAGAAAAATGAGAAGCCAAACCCTCGTGTAACCTTAAATCAAGATACGTACAGAGAGGCGACAAAAAAGATAGATGGGAGAAGCAAAGACCAACAAGAGCTATGCCCTAATCCTGGATGCGCACATCGGGGGAGAAGAAAAAAACACGGGCAATATCGCAGAAAACAAGATGGATTTTTGGAAAAGAAGAGGGGGCAGTAAGGTCATTTACCATCCATACCGTAATGCGTTCCGTAGAAACGAGCTTTGCACTGACGTTCATAGCTGGCTTGTTTTGGTAACGACATTTCATTGAAAGCACCAAAAAAGCAAGCTTCCAAAAGCACCTTTAAGTGCATTTTCAAACGAAAGCATGTAAAAAGCCCTCCCAAACACGAAAAAAATATTGAGTTCGGAGTTCGGATGCAAGCTACGTCAGACAACAGACGTGATACACCTGGGGTGTTTTTTCCCCCCTTTGCTCCATCCGATGTATCGCATCAGCTGTTCGGACGTAGCTTTGCGTCCGAACTCCAGACGCAATATTTTTTCCTCGAACACACCCTTAGTCAACATGCAAGGAGTTTATAAAAAACTGATAACTAACCTAAGAGAAAAGTTAAAAAAAATGTGTTAAAAAAGATGTCTATGACTTTTCAAGAAGGTACAAAAAATAGATTGCTTGTTAAGAAAGAAGTCAATAGTTTACCTATTGAGAAATTAGCTAATTTATGGCTCTAAGGCGTTAAATTATTCCCTAAACTTTAAAAAAGGAAGACATATCGTTCAGTTGATGGGCACACTAAAAGATGAGGAAAGGAAGCTATAAAAAAAAAAAATTAAACACTTTATCGAGAAGTTGTAGCTCAATAATGATAACATGTCAACAAGTATTAAGAAAGAATTCGAGTAGATGACTACTTTATGATGATGAGTTGTTGAATAATACTGGAAAAATTATTGCATACAGACACCGCATGCAGAGATGTATGCGGTGTCCGATCCTGACAGTAGATCACAGTGATCTACGGTCACAATATATTTCGGTGGACCCCACTTAAATTTTTTTTTAAAAAAATTATTGCATACAGACACCGCTGTCTAATCCTGACCGTAGATCATGGTGATCTACAGGATGAATTTTGGTTTTCTTTTTTTTTAAAAAAAAAATTTAAGTGGGGCTCACCAAAATTTATCCTGACCGTAGATCACTGTGATCTACGGTCAGGATCGGACACCACATGCAATAATTTTTCATAATACTTAGAAGAGATTCGAGCGAAGGTATTTAAAGAGAGGGGATCCTAGAGTGCACCAAATAAAAGGTGTCAATGCAACAAATTATTAAATGCCGCAATACAATAAAGCACCATAAAGATGAAACTCTAGAAAGCAAGTTCACTAGGGAGATATTATTAAGCCATTAACTATAAAATGTTGAGTTCTCGGTATAATGCCACATGGAAGGGGGTGTTGAAAAAGCTATCTTCCAAAGGATTGGCGCCCAAGGAGAGATTACAACGAATCTTAAGGTGCTCAGAAAAGTCAAGCTGATAACTAATGCAACATCATTAGCTCCTATAGCACACATGCAACCACTTGGATTAATGTATATGATACAAAAAATGAAACCTCAAGTTGGTTATGTTTATTTTGATTATTTACATGTTATTTTATGCATTTTATGTTATTATTACAAATATGAAGCCAAAGATGACATATGACAAGTAGCTAATTCTTAACATTAGAACTTACTACCATTACACAAATTTGTTTGGGTAAGCTTTTCATAGGTAAAATAGACATGGAGAAAGCAAGCCCAATCATGGCAGTTAGGGGTGTAAACGAACAGAACACGAACGAACAGAGCTTGTGGTCGTGTTTGGTTCGTTTGAAATTTAGTTTGTTTGAAATAAGCTCGTGTTCAAAATTGTTCGTGACGTCACTATTTTTGTTCGTTTCTTAACGAACGAGCTGAACACGAGTTCGCGAACGACAAGCCAGTTTGACATCCCTAATATTAATATATATATAAATAATATATTATATTAATTATATAACTTATATTATATAAATATACAATATCTATATTTGTATATTACTAATATAGCATATTAATAAATATATTATTATTATTAATTTATTATATATTATAATTTATAAAATTTAATTTTTTAAAATATCATAAATTTATTATATATAATTATTTTAAATTATTTTATATTTCGAACAATAACGATTCAAACACGAACGAACGCATCACTGTTCGTGTTTGACTCGTTTAACTAACTGAACGAAAAAAATTTATTCACATTCGTCTTGTTTATTTATCGAACGAATCAAACACGAACTTTGATGAACCGAACACGAACTATTCGCGAACAATGAGCTTTTTTTACAGCCCTAATGACAATGGGACTGAAAATGCTAAAAACTTCATTTCATAAAATTGTCTTAATGATTATAACTTCTCATATACTTCACATAACATTTGACATTCCAATTGCTTTCTAAATCTTATGCTACAAATACTTACAAATAATCATAAGATTTATTGGATGTAGGAAGTCTTAATATGAATTCAAATTGAATATTTTACCTTTGCAAACTTAGCTTGCTGCCCATTTTTATAAGGTTTAAGTGTACCCTTTTCTTAATGAAGTTGGGAATGTCATATACGTTCATGTGTGCTACTTGTGCTCTCCATCCATCATCATCGAATATCTTTTTAGCATCATTACATCAATTGGTGCCAAAAACTTTAGGTGAAGGAGGACCCGTTTGGGGCAACTTATAAGTGCGCTGTACTGTTTGGTTCGCGCGTCTCACCAGCTTATCCGGAACCACGTTTAAGTTTTTTACACTAAACGCCTCGCAGCCTGCCCGCGAGCGGCATTTCAGAATAAACAACTTATACTGAAACGCACAAGCTGCCCCAAACGCACCCTTACTCTCTAAAAAAAATATTGAACTACAACATACAAATTGTTGAAAGGTTCACTTCTAGGCCATTATTTATGGGTCATTTACATACATATCACCTAATTTCTATGCATTTACACATCTAACACCTAAACTTCATTTTTTTTTTACATTTATACAACCGAATCTATCATATCACAACAAAATTACCACCATTTTTAAGATGAAATACATATTTTCATGCATAAATAAGTAGGCATATAAGTCAAAATTGAAATTTAGATGCATACAAAAAATGCATAGGAATTAAGTGATGCATGTAAATTCTATTTTTAATTTTTGTAACTAACTTTTTAAATAATAAACTTCAATGACCCTAAGTCCAATCATTCCTAGTGGAATTAATGGATTATCTAGGATAGAATAAATGTACTGCATAATTGCCAAAGAAATTGAAGATCATCCAATTCCACAAAAGAATAGTATAGATAATGAGAAAAGAACTAATTTTCTTAAGTGCACATTAAAATTTGAACCAATGGGCTTCAATTTAAATTATTAATAACATCCAACCAGAAAGCCTTCAATATCATAATAGCAAATAATTATAATGTCAATTTGGCAGAGGCTCAAATATCGATTTCCCATGCACAATCTGGCCCCATGATAAGAGCTTGTGCTATGTGTCTATAATTCGCCCCACACGCACAACAGTAAGAATTAAACCCTTGCCAGAGGGGACTTACAATGACCCTGCCTACCAACTGAACAAGGAAGTGCTCACCTTATAAAAAAAAAACATTTTATTTTTCTTAACTATCTTTTGTGGTAAATATAGTATACAAATAAATATTAATAACATGTTACATGCCAAAACTTTTTTGAGCAACACATGAATAATAAATAAATAAGCTTTAGTGTGGGGGAGGAAATTAAAAGCTTTTGTTACCATGATGTAGGCTTATTTCTCATCATCTTCCTCTTGTTGGCATCAAGGTATCTTTTTCTTAATCTTATAACCTTAGGGGTAACCTATGAGGATAGAAGGTGAAAACATTCAATCAATACACAAACAATTTATTTCACATTATATATTCACTAATATTCATGAAATTTTGAGACTAACCTCAATGAGCTCATCAGAGGCAACATATCCAATGGCTTCCTCCAGAGTCATCTGCAAAATTTGAAATTTCAAGAAATTAAATGGTCTCGAAGTGCTTTAGAACGACAATACCAATATACATCTCAAATAAACTTGGGCATATGACTAAAATTTTGGGGCATATACTTACATGCCACACAATTTTCATATATACCAAAACTTCTATATTTATATACATAGCACTCGAATCTTTGACATTGCATCAAAAATACCACTATTATTAACTTTTTAAAAGTGAAATATACATTTTCATGCATGGGTTTTTGGGGCACTTACGTACATACCACGCAATTCTTATGTATTTACATATCTAACATCAAAATTTTATTTTTTTTACATTTATGTCACCCAAGTCTTTCATATTATATCAAAATTACAATAATCATTTTAATTTTTAAAAAGTGAACTTCACCTTTTCATGGAAACTAAATTCACCTTTTCACCATAGGTAAGGTGGTTTGTATGTAATGATTAATGTTTAGGCATTAGATATGTAAATGCATAGATATTGAGTGATATATATATGTAAATCTTCCTAGGTTGTTAACATCTAAGTATTATAAATGAAAATATCAAACTTTGGGTGCTAGATGCATAAATACATATGTATGTAAATTTCCCAAAACCATTTACAAGACTAAACATTTTATGAGCATAAATATATTGTGGTCAGATCTATGGCCGAAGACATAAACCGCAGCAAAAAAAAGAAACTTTACCAAGCGAGGCGGCGATAATCGAACATTTTCATCTTTTCCCGGAGCTCTAATGTTTGTAAGTTCTTTTGTTCTTACAGGATTTACCTATAAGAGACGCAGATAAGACAAAGTTAGCAGTAACATAACGGTTAAAAAGTAGCAATGAGAAGATCATGAGTTCAAACATCTTACGTCTAGATCAGCATCTCGTGAATGCTCACCAACTATCATCCCATCATATGTCTTCAAACAGTTAAAGAGAAGAAAACATAAATATTTATAATCCGATGAATTTTAATATAATCATAAAAGAAAATGCAGCAGGAAGTAACCTCCATTCCAGGAGACACGAAAAGAATGCCACGAGCTTCCAAACTTGTGAGGGCGTGCGCAGTAATAATTCCGCGACCAACCGATACCTAAAAGTAACAATTTGGGGCTACAACTTTCAATAAAATGAGGACGGCAAAACAAATTTTGGGATGTGAATGAGATTCTGTTCTGTTCATAAAATAAAATAATGAGGCATTTACATACATACCATACCACCCAATTCCTATGTATTTATATATCTAACAGCTAAACTTTACTTTTCAAAATTTATAGGACCTATATGTCTCGCATCACATGAAAAATACCACTATTTTGACTTTTAAGAAGTGAAATACATCTCTTCAAGGATAAGTATGGATGCATATATGTAAAAATTGATGTTTTGGGTGTTTTTGATCTGTAAATACATAGGAATGTAAATCATCCTAAAATAGTACAAATATACATGAAGTGAACGTTTTCTATTTCAAGTGAAACAGAAGCTCCTTCAATTTTAATGCTTCCATTCACTCAAATGTTTTACTAGCAAAGATTAGTCTTCCATGTAACCCTGAATGAAAACAGAAAAGGGTGTCATTGCAGCATAATAGTTGGTAGGAAAACAGAAGATGCTAAATCGAGTAAAGCATCTAGTGATTGTTTTGCTCTGAGAAAGTTAAAATGAAAGACTTGTTTGGAATCAATATTGTTTTTAGTTGTTGTGAGATATACCCCGTGGGGCATAATGTGGTTGCTACAGTACCAAGGAAAAATATATCGC